CCTCCAGCATACAGAAGGGTTCTATAAGAATCCAAAGATTTCTCAAGCATGCCTACTGAGACTAATAACGGAATTCTCTTTACAATAGTTAGCAGCACTGATGCGAAGCTTTTGGAAAATATGTCTGGTGTAGACAAAGGCAAAGATATCAAAGGATGTTGTAACAAGTTACGATGCTCAGTCTCCATCCATAGCGTCTGGAGTTGTACAGAAAAAAAAAGCTGCATACAGAAGTGGTAAATTCATACAATTTCAGTTGCCTAATCTATATCAAGATTTACATGCAAAGACTATTAATCAAGGTTAGTTTTCAGTATTTTGCTTCAGAAAAAAAAAGGGGAGGGGGAGGAGCTTTTCCTACATTTTGGCCATAAGCATGTGTGCTCTACACCTACACCCAGCACTACAAACAGTTAATATTAAGCTAGATGCAATGTTTTATTGAGACTGTACAGAAACAAAAAGGTTGAATTCTTATTATGCTCATGTTCCCTCATATTTGGTCTTGCATAGCAAACTAGAAACCTTGGTTCTCCCTATCTTAGCTTTGACAATCACTTCTATGACTTTACAGTGCTCTTCCGTGAATATTTAGTGTTCATCCTTGAATTATAGTAAAATGTTTCTTGCTTGGCTCTTCCTTAAGCAAACAAAATGGTGTTCGATCTTGAATAGCAATACTTGAGAGCAAAATGCTTCTCATTAGCTCTGGGAGCAGAACTCAGACATTAAACAGGTGTCTTAGTAATAGATGAGCCAACACAAAGATCTATAAATATCACCAACTTGCTGTCTAACTATTTTTTGTTTCGAATGCTTGAGTCAATTTGAAAAACACATGCATTCATTAAATGGAGTTAACAGACAAAACTTAACATACATTTGATTACTAAGCAATGAAAACAAATTTTCAATGCCTAGTCATCCCGTAAGAAATGGCCAGCCACGTTCACTTTTGCTAAGTGTTTGCCATCCTCAGGGATCCTTGGTGTTCCAAGATAAAGAGCACAAAGACGACAAAGGGACAGACCAGGTCAGACTACAAGTCATGGGCCAGATTTTCTGAGCTAAACAGGTGCACCTTTCCATTCTGTTCTATACAGATTCTTATACCATCTTATTACCATGGTAAACAAGCACCTTCCAGTCCACATTAAGCAACATGAACTACACTTGCCACATATGGTTTGTTCTCTCTCATCCTCTACCTAGGGAGAAAGAAATGTGTGAAGTGTGTGCGCGCACATCTCATATGTGCACACACTTGTCCAGTTAGATGCAAATAATTTTGATGACAATTAAGCAATATAAAAACTATTTGCAGTAGAAGTGTGCATTTACCATTTTAAAACTATTTAATAACTAAAACCCAGAGACCATTAGCAATCTTCAGATCTATTGTAATGACTATCCAGTTTTTGCTAGTTTTCCAGTTTTCCTATCTTGTAGCTTTTATTGTGGCTCTGAAAGACCACTGTTAATAAATTTTCCATGTTTCCTGGCTCATTACACTTTTCAATTACCAGTTTACTCTCCAGCCATATTACAGAAGCAGCATTCTCATGGTAAGGAGGATATGGACAAAGACATGCAGATGGGAGGAAAAAGAACAAATATGGCAAGTGTCTCCCATTTTAGCATTTGGATGATGTTCAAAATAAACAAGAACCAAAATGAAGCATGTGGGGAAAAAAGGCAGTGGACAGTTTCTAAAAAGTTAAGTTGCTGGTTTTCAGCAGATATTGTGGAGTTCAACAATAAATTCTCATATGTTGTGCCAGTGTTCGAGACACTGTCAAATCCATGCTTTATAATAAAGCATACCTGACTTGTTTAAGTCTAGTACCTGACACTTTGAGTTGTTCAAGTCCATTTCTTATATAGCAATTATATTAGTAATCTACACTTTGGGTAAAAATGGTTATTATACAGTATACTTAGGCTTGGAAGAATCCATTTTTATGCATGTCAGCATTTTTTTGTATAATGCCAGTTGAAGTTTATTTTTAAGCATTTTTTCTGTTTAAATTTTCACAGTTGTGGGAAATTATGGGGGAGGATGTCAGAATAATTTAATGACAGCATAAGTAAGTTAAATCTTTATATGCCGTTAAAACAAATTGTCAACATTACATGTCAAAATATACAAAGTTAAATCAACAAGGCATACCTGTAAACTATTCATTCATGAATCCATTCATAAGAAGCCTAATTCAAAAGTCTAAAAAATCATCACTGGATTTTAACTAAAATTCTCAAGCAGCATTTTTATTACCTTTCCTATCTTCAAACTTTGATCATCTAAACATTTGTTGTTGTGTTTATAGTGAAATCAACATTTATCAATAAAAATTAATCCTTCCAAGCCTAAGAATATTGCAGAAATATATTTTCAAGTAGTCTGAATCCTTGCTGTGCCATCAAATATTGCTTAAGGCATGAACAAGACTCCAACCTGTATCACAGACTGATATTTGTATGTCCTCTTAACACTCAAGCGTTCTGCCATACATAGAAAATTAAATTATAAATAAATGTATACAAGTTGCTCTGCAGAGTTATTTACTTACAGGACTTGAAGAGATAGGGCCCCATATAAAAATAGGCACGGACGTACTAAAATGGGAAAAACAGACAGGCCAGACACTAAATTGTCTACATTTTGATCAAACTACACCAGAATCATTTCACACACATGTAGAAAAGTGTACACTGCAGGTTTCTAAGGAATCAGTTAAGTCCTTAATATGGCATAAACTAGACTATGACTTTTGAGAAAGACAATGATTCTTGATATAAAAATGTCAAGCGATGGAAAAATCTACCACAACCCTAACCCTAGGCAAATTAGAGGATTGCCTAGACAAATTAGAGGATTCGGCCAAAAGAAATCTGATGAGGTTCAACAAGGACAAGTGCAGAGTCCTGCACTTAGGACGGAAGTATCCCATTCACTGTTACAGACTAGGGACCGAATGGCTAGGAAGCAGTTCTGCAGAAAAGGACCTAGGGGTTACAGTGGACGAGAAGCTGGATATGAGTCAACAGTGTGCCCTTGTTGCCAAGAAGGCTAACAGCATTTTGGGCTGTATAAGTAGGGGCATTGCCAGCAGATCGAGGGACGTGATCATTCCCCTCTATTCGACATTGGTGAGGCCTCATTTGGAGTACTGTGTCCAGTTTTGGGCCCCACACTACAAGAAGGATGTGGAAACATTGGAAAGAGTCCAGCGGAGGGCAACAAAAATGATTAGGGGGCTGGAGCACATGACTTATGAGGAGAGGCTGAGGGAACTGGGATTGTTTAGTCTGCAGAAGAGAAAAATGAGGGGGGGATTTGATAGCTGCTTTCAACTACCTGAAAGGGAGTTCCAAAGAGGATGGATCTAGACTGTTCTCAGTGGTACCAGATGACAGAACAAGGAGTAATGGTCTCAAGTTGCAGTGGGGGAGATTTAGGTTGGATATTAGGAAAAACTTTTTCATTAGGAGGGTGGTGCAGCACTGGAATGGGTTGCCTAGGGAGGCGGTGGTATCTCCTTCCTTGGAGGTTTTTAAGGTCAGGCTTGACAAAGCCCTGGCTGGAATGATTTAGTTGGGAATTGGTCCTGCTTTGAGCAGGGGGTTGGACTAGATGACCTCCTGAGGTCCCTTCCAACCCTGATATTTTATGATTCTAGGCAAAATATTCCCCCGATTAATTACCCTCACTTAAATTTGTTATGCATTCCTGTGCACATCTAGACTCATCTTCCAGCTACTGGATCCTGTCATGCCATTGTCAGCTAAATGAGCTCTCTAGCATCAGGTCTCTTCTTCCTGTGTAGCTATTTATGGACCCAATTAAGTCACCTCTTAACCTTCTTTTTAAGGTCTCATTACAAGGCAGATTTTCCAGTTCTCAAGTCATTCTTGTGGCTCTTCTCTGAACCCTCTCCAGTTTTTCCACCACCCTTTTTGGAATGTTGACTGAGAACTGGACACAGGATTCCCATTAGTGGTCTCATTAGTGCTATATCCACTGGTAATATAACCTCCCTACTAAATTTTTATGTTGACTGTCTTTAAGCAAACACTGGAGATTTTTCAAAATTGGTCCATATAATAAAATGAAGTGCTCTCAGATTACAACTAAGATCTCAAATTTGTTACCATGATCATTAATATGATGTGGCTACATAATCACGTTTTTTCCCCTCTGGATCTGAAATACTGACCAGACAATTTCACATGTCTTACTTTAGAAGGAACTTTCAAGCCAGTTTGCACATTTAAAAATTAAAAATAAAGAACTCTGCTTGAAGAAAGTATTACTAAGCAGGCTGAAAATATATAAAAATGAAAGATATTACTGAAGAGTATTTACTATGACCTACATACATTTTAAATGATTGAAATGTTCAATTTTATTTCAAATTACTTTGGCTCTAGGCTAGAGCACATGCAGAAAATATGTAACTGTGCTGAACAACTTTTTCTCGTAACTAGTCCCTCAAAGCTTTCCAACAATAGTAAAATGGTTAGCCTTTCATTTCTTATAACACAGGAAATACCTGTCTTCACAGTTTGAAAAATACCTCAAATGCCAGGGTCAGCCTCAAAAAGCCATGATGTTATCTGAAGTCAAATCTTCCATTTTATTGGCAGAGTTCTCATGTTATGTTTCTGCCAAAATGGTAAATTAACTGCATTAGATTACTCCTCCATCAAAATTTAGCTCCTGTGCCAGTTTAGCTTTCCAGACCGCAAGCTCAGAAAACACCGTGTTATGAATCCTGTACGTCACTAAATTTTAGGTTACCATCTCTTTACTTGTTTGGGAGAGGGGAAGGGGGGAAGAGAAAGAGACACTTCTTAACAAGGAAGAGAAAAGCAACTGGTCCCTTATTTATCAAGTGGAATGGAAACAGTCACTACAATTGCAAGCAATACAAGTTCACTGCAATATTAATGTGTTTGCATTTTTAAGTAAATTGATGCAATTAATGATAAATACTTACCAATACACACATCTATCTTCCCTTTGATAGCAGCTTCATGCAGAGGAGTGTAGTTCCAATTGTCTCTGGCATTTGGATCTGCACCTTGACATAGTAACAGGCTAACCACCTCAGCATGACCAAAGGAACAAGCATTATGAAGGGGTATTAGCCCTCCATCATCACGAGCGTGAACATTGGCTCCTGTCTGCAGCAAGTGTTCTACTACATCCTTCCTTCCAAAACCTATGAGAAGAAAGAAACCTTTGTTAAATATCTATGCAGGCTAAGAAGTATGTTTTAGAGATAGGAACAACCACATGAGAAGTAAATCCATTTTTAAAAGCATTTCAATCGTTTGGTCATAAACACGGAATGTTCAGTACAGTCAAATTTCTCACTTGAAAGATGCACTTAGACTGACAATGGACATATTTAAAATAAGTTCAGATAATCAAAAGAATGTCCCCTAAACTCATGCGCTTCCAGAGCTCTTGCAGAAACAGGTTCTGGAGCACAGAGTCTTACTGCCCTTTGGAGCCCTTTCTGCGAAGACCTTGTAGGCATCACAGCCTTTAGCGCTCTTCATCTGAAGCTGGTGCAATAATCCCATTCTTTTAGATGGGTCCCCTATCTTGGGCAAGGCCTAAATTAAAGATTCAATGAAATGATCAGAGTGAAATAGTAAAAACAAAAACTTTTCCACCTAACCCTATCGTCAAAATAAAAAACTATTTATAGTTAAGTGTGTTTCTTTAATATTGGATGAAGGGAGAGATATGTTCTATGACCACTCCAAAAGGTAGAGAAACTGAAGGACCATTAAAAGGTGGCAGTCTAGTCAATGGAGGACCTGATGGAACTGCAATCATAACTGCCAAGTATGGCTCAGAAGTGTTCTGAGGTTGGGCACAGGACTCCTACAATGGGCTCTGTGAAAACAGCATCAAAGGGGAAACAAAGTGCCTTAATACTGAATGCTAATTGAGGATTTTAACACGTCTTTCTAGAGCTCATCATTACATCACACATCCCAAAATCATGGACAATCAGAAGGTTTGTTCTCTAGAATCCAAGGCACCAATCCAAGTGCACATACACAGGTAGTATACCCCAGCAAGAAGATAGCAGTTATTATTAGGACCCTTCCAAAGACAACTTAAGAAGGTAAAAGTCAAAATCCTAACCTTTTCCTTCATTTCTCATTGGGGGCAACAGGTCTGGAAACCTCTCTCCTGGGTCATATCCTACTCTTTTTCAAATGTTACGATGCCTTTTCAAAGAGCACAACTGACAAAATTTTAATGTGGCTAACGTCAACACTGACTAATCTAGTTATCGCTGTTAGACAAAAAGGAAAGGAAGTGTTGCTGGAGCCTCCCTTGCACATGCGAATTATGACAAGCACCTGGACAAAGCAAAGTTCCTTCCTCAACCCACTCAATCCGTAAACTGGAGATCCATCTCCCTCACTCAGTTTTGCCAAGAATTAATGGATTGCATTAAACAATGAAGATTAAAAACAAGAGTCTAATTAGTACTTTTTTAAAGTCCTGTTTCCAGTTCTATCAATGAAGCTTTTTAATTCAGAAAACACATGAGTCAGAGTTGGAATCGTTAAAGAGATAGTTCTCTAGAGACCAATAGACAAAGAAAAATCTTTTGGATAAACAGCTCGAGTTTAAACTGACTTCAGGGCCTTCTTTCTGATCCAGCAAATGGACAGAATCTTCTGTTCAAGGGAGAGCCCGAAACTTTAGAGAAGGGTTAGAAAGACAGACTCCTGCTAGAGTTGGAAGGGGGAAGAGTGATCTTTGGTAAGTTTATTAGCATGTGTGTAGGTTTCTTTATTTGTTTGTAATGTTTTCTTTGTAATGCTTTCACCTTAAGAATAAATATGCTTGCATAAAAAGGGTCGTGTTAACGCATAGCTGCTGGCAATTACTTTGTTCATAGTCTTTCAAGAGTAAGCAAACACAGATGCCATCCTCATTAAGCAATCTGGTTAGCTGGCAATAATAGTGTAGACAGGGAACTGTGCAGCCTGAAGTACCCCCAGAGAAGATGGTGGGAGAAGAGGGAGACAGACGCGCATACACACACACACACAGGTCTCCACCCAAGAGAGGTGAAAACTAAGCAGCTGGGAGCCTAGAGTGGGTACTGTCGCTGCATCACAGAGAGGAATACAGGATCAGTTGCCCTGAACTGAGAGTTTTGTTTAAACCTTAAATCTTTGTGCATCTCCAGAAAGAAAGTTGATCCATCTAGCAATTTACTAAACTTGAGGCTTTAATTCAAAATCTTCCATTTAAAAGACCTTGCACAGATGATCAGGCAAAACATTAAGAAAAATGAACCTTCAACAACACTTGAAACCAGTGGTTCTCAACCTGTGGCCCTTTACGGCCCAATCAGCACACAGCTACAGCCCATGTGACATCCTCGGGGCCATACAGGTAGTATACAGGTATAGTGTGTGGATGTGACCCACATAACACAGAAAGCTGCATATGCGGCCCACAACAGTAAACAGGTTGCGAACCACTGCTTTAACCAAGTTCACCTAGGCAATGAAGTCAGTGGGAGTTGGTAGGTTCTTAGCACTTCTGAAAGTCTAATTACCTATTTAGGTGACTAACTAGGCTTTGCCATTAAGTCTTGTCCCTCGTGCTTTCTGCAGGTAAGAGACCAAAGTTATAAAATACTACAGTATATCCATACCCTTGCATGAAGTAAGAAGAATATGTCTTCCGCAATTAGAGTACTAGCTACATATCAAGTTCTAGTTATATCACACAGTCAGATAATGTAGTTGTATAATTTCACTTGTCTTACTAAAAAGCAGAAATTTCTATCTAGTTTTGACAGGTATCCCAGGTAATGTGGGAGTGTCAAATTGTTTGGCTGAGCCATTGGCACAACTCGTGGAACATGTGAGCCAAACTGGCTAGTTCTATTTTCTTTTAAACTAACTATAAAATCTCAGTTTTACTCTGATCACAATTTTCCATAAACTCTGGTTTTCAGTTTTCTAGGAAAGATTTTTATTTCAATTACTTTCACTGCATCTTTTACCGTCTCTCCCACATTACAGATTACTTGCTCTTAGATTTGTGCTAGTCTGTGGTGGGGCAGTGCCCAACCCCCTAAGAAAAAGACTGGAACAGGCCTTTGAGGCAGTGCAGGCCGGCAGCCAATCAACAGAGGCCTCTTAGGAGCCGATCAGGGCAGGGCAGAGGCAGCCAATCAGGGCTGGGTTAGGCCCTATATAAAGGCTGCCTAGCAGGAGGAAAGGCCCTCTCTCCCTGACTGCCAAAGGAGGAGGGTTCCTGGGCTGAAAGGTAGCACCTTGGACAGAGCAGTCATAGAATCTTAGAATATCAGGGTTGGAAGGGACCTCAGGAAGTCATCTAGTCCAACCGCCTGCTCAAAGCAGGACCAATCCCCAGACAGATTTTTGCCCCAGATCCCTAAATGGCCCCCTCAAGGATTGAACTCACAACCCTGGGTTTAGCAGACCAATGCGCAAACCACCGAGCTATCCCTCCCCCCGAAGGGCTGGGGAAGGGCAAAAGGAGCTGAGGAGCTCCAGCCAAGGAAAACCCCAGGCTGCAGGCCTTGCTACAAAGGGCCGAGCAGGTGCACAGGGCTGAAGGGGAAGCAGCTCAGGGACAAAGTCTGACAAGGGGAGAGAAGGAGGGCAGGGAGTCTGCCACTAGAGGGTCCCTGGGTCGGGACTCAGAGTAGCAGGTTGGCCTGGGTCCCCCCCTTCCTCCTTGTACTACACCGGGCTGACAAGGAGCGTGGCCTGATACAGACTGTGGCTGGCCCCGTGACAAAGGGGCTAGACTGTGAGGCTGCAGCCAGCCACTAGAACAGGTGCAGACGAAGGACTGCTGATAACACCAGAGCAGTGGGCACTTCTGGAGGGCAGTGTCCTGAAGAGGATGCCGCCAAGCGGGGAGCAACGCGGGTCCGGACACCAACAGGAGAGCAGACGACGGATGGGACCCTACCTACAGAGGGCGCCCGACAGAGGACAGAGCTAATTCCCAGACGTGCCAGCGGGAGGCACTGCAGTGGTGAGTCCCAACCCCGTCATAGTCCCAACACTTCTTTAAAAAAGTCTAATAAGAATATGTCCTCAAGAAAATGGAAAAGTACAGCTTATCCGTATCTGAACATTGTCATTATGTTAGATGAAATAGCAAAAATGCACTGAATAAATGTAATCCCATTTTATTACTTTTTAGAGGACCAAACCTAGTTCACATCAGAGCATGTGCACTTCTCCATTTCCAAGCACTCATCTTATTAAGAAAATGGATGTTATTGTCAGAATGGTTTCCGTGGTATGCAGGTACTTCAGGCTAGTTTAATTTGTCTTTCCAGTTAAGCATATTGAGAGCCAGATTTTCCCCTCACACTAGTTTACATCAACACAACTCCACAGACTTAAATGAAGCTAGTCCCAGTTCACAACAGTGTAAAAAGAGAATTAAGCCCACTGGCTGAAATTAAGTGCATTAACTTAACTATATCTAGAAAAAAGAACAGGAGTACTCATGGCACCTTAAAGACTAACAAATTTATTAGAGCATAACCTTTCGTGGGCTACAGCCCACTTCTTCGGATGCATCGAAGCCCACGAAAGCTTATGCTCTAATAAATTTGTTAGTCTCTAAGGTGTCACAAGTACTCCTGTTCTTTTTGCGGATACAGACTAACACGGCTGCTACTCTGAAACCTATATCTAGAAACTGAATCAGATATTTTCATTGCAGTGTACAAGCTTTCCAGTAAAATTGCAGGTTTCACTAAATAAATAATCTGAGTTTAAGTTCTATGTTCATGTTCGTGTATTTTCTCATTCTCCTCCTTCACACATTTTAAACATGATTTTGTTGTACAAAACCACACTATTCAGAGAAATCAAAAAATAGGCCATAGCTGAAGCACAGAATGCTTCATGTCATTAGAAGTTAATACAATTCATACAACTTAAATATTGAGAACGATCAGAGATGTTTAAAATGGAAGTCTGTCGGATCTATTAAATTTGTCCTTGGGATTTTGCCATCTCACAGGCCCTAATCCTGCAACGGGGTCCACTCCATAGGGGCATGAGTCTGCTGACGTGGATTGGCTTCTAGAAGTGTTTTAGCCTCCGTAAAAAGGCATACTTCAAATATTCTTTATCCTCCCACACCATCGGTGCATAGGGCATCCAAATTCCACCATTG